GGAGTTCAATAATTGTATATTATCATCCATATATTCATATTGATTCATAATTGTAATTTATTGTTTTTTAGGCTCTTCACCAATTCATTAATGGCCAAATTCATTATGAAGGGGAAAGAGAAACATGAGAAAAAGTCTCTGGAAATAACCAAGATTTATAGAGCAATTAAAGGTAAGCCCATATTTCCTGTTGACAAATGGAACGATTGGCTAAATATTTAGTTAGCAAATTAGATAATTATTTTGGAAATTAAATGTTAGGTTTGGAAATTAAATATTTAATTTGCACCTAAATTTATTTAGTTCACTAACTAAATATTTTACTTGCAAGTTAAGTAGTTTTGTAAACTAAATATTTAGCTTTTAAATTAAATATTTAATTTGGAACTATACATGTATGAAAAACATGGTGAAAATATGACTTTGAAAATAACTTTTTTCTCTAAACCAAAGTATTGCTGTTAATTTTTGTAACTTTACAAACGGCACCCCATAGATATGAAAAGGTTTGGTATCTCTAATGCATTTTGCAGCAAATTTGTAACTGATGTGCTCAAACTTGGCAGCATGACAGCTCAGTGGTTCGCACTGTTGTCTCACAGCAAGAAGGTCCTGGATTCAATCCCCGGTTGGACCTGGGGTCTTTCTGTGTGGAGTTTGCATGTTCTTCTGGTGCTTGCGTGGGTTTTCTCCGGGTACTCCGGTTTCCTCCCACAGATCAAAAACATGCATGTTAGGCTGGCTTCAGGCCCAGGCCTCCCTTGAAAATGACCTGTGATCTCGATGAGATTTTAAAAAGAAGAATGAGACTGAGCAGTTAGGAGAAGAAACTCCTGGGTTTTGGCCTAAACAATCTGTTAAACCAGTGGTTCTCAAACTGGGGTCCCCGGAAACCCGGAGGTCCGCGAGATGGTGCTTGGGAGTCTGCACTTTAACAAAAAAATTGATTTTTTTATTTTTTACAAGCACGTAGGTGTTTAACAACCTGTTAAAATACACCAAAATGCAGGAAATCACATCTACTTTACTCAAAATTTTCTGGGGGAGGACCCTGAGAACCCCCGCCCCACCCCCTATTTGTAATAATAATAATAATTTGAAGTGGCGATACATTTTTTTATGTTCATTATGTGAATAGGGAAAGTTTAAAAATGGTTTTTGATTATGTTCATTTTCTCAAAACTGTCATTTTTGGAAGTTGAAATTAAACATTTTGTTAACTAAGTGTGTGTTGAATGAAAATATACCCCTTGTTTAAAAGTATTAAAATTGTATTAACACTATTAAAGAACATGTCTTAGTATTTACAAATATTTCCATTGTATTTAAGAGACAAACTGAAGAAACTTATTTAATGAACATGAGGGTTATGAGGGGGTCCCTGAACCCAAAAAGTTTGAGAACCCCTGTGTTAAACAAATAATTGAGAGGCTTCAAATAGTCTTCTGCTCATCTATCTCCGGCGTTGGATGGCTGGCCTGTTCCTGCTATCCTCGCCCCACCATGTGACCTGCTCCCCTCCTCCGTCGCTCGGCAACAGCCCCGCTGGATGTCCGCGGAGCAGGTCCTGCCCCTGGGGCCCTGTGGGAGTGTCCTCTAAGAGCCGCCTCCCCTGGCGAGAGAGGACTTCTACAGTTTAAAGTCCTCGTCCACAGGGGCCTCCGTGCTCAAACTTCTTGGAGGAAGTCTAGAAATACTATCTGCATTTTTCACCAAATTCTCTCCTCTTAATATTCAAGTGTATGCTGCTACATAATTAACTTTGGGATACTGTTTGCACAATACTACTTTCAGCTTTTCAAATAACTATCGTTGCAAGGGAATTATTCAGAAGGAGATTCAACTGGCAGCTTATTTTAAGCTCACAAAAGCTCTGAGCTTTGATTCAGTATAAAACCAGAGTAAGAACTTTTCGGCTTTCTGAGTTAATTCCAGGCAGAATATAATTTCTGAATTATTGAAATCAAAGGCCACCTTTTATGTCAGAATTTTAAACTCAAACACGAGTTGTAGCCATTTTGGTGAAACCTTGAAAAATAAATACAACAAAGTTCAGTCAGGTCATCTGGACAATTTCTGATTTTGTTGAGACATTTCGTCCTTCATCCAAAGGACTTCATCAGGCTGAGGAGCCACAAACAAGCTCAGTCCCACAAGCAGCACACTTCCATAGTGGACCAACCAATTTGCTGTGAAAAGATGGTTTCTGAGGCCCGCCCTCTCCCCCATCAACTTCTCTGAGGCAGCCATAGCCAAAGTGGTTCAAAACAACAAAGTTCATGCTCAATAATCCAGGAAGAAGTGCAGTCAGGTCATCTGGGCAGTTTCTTTTTTAACTGAGACGTTTCATCCTTCATTCAAGAGACTTCATCAACAATTTGATGAAGTTGATGAACAGTGATGAAGTCCTTTGGATAAAGGACGAAACGTCTCAATAAAAAAATAAACCGTCCAGATGACCTGACTGAACTTTGTTGGATTTTTTACCTGGATTATTGAACATGAACTTTGATGTCTTGGAAAAACAAAGTTATGCACAATCTCATGTGATAGCAGGATATGTTGGGAACGACTTTTAGTTGCCTCCATTCCAAATTTTATCTCCAAATCAGTGAGATTTGCCAATTTATCAACCTTTTAGTGTTAATTAAAGATTTTACACAATGTGTGAGCTCAAAACAAGTGTGAGAGATCAGTCTCGGCTACTACCACTCCACATTTAAGCCAACATTAGTAAAATGGACTGATAGCTGCTTATAGGTTTTTCAGGTCAGTTTGCTGTGGGAGCCATCTTGACTCCATCTTGGGTTAACTCCAAAAAGATAATCAGTTGTAGATGTTTAATAATTGAATGATAATTTTCCAAAAGTTTTATTAAAATCCATTCAATGGTTCTTGAGACACACACAAACGCCAGAAAAAAACATTAAAAATATATTGAAAATAACAAAGATGTCATCTAAATTCTCACACAAAGCCATGAAAAACATCAAGCGCGAGCTAAAATTCAACCAATATGTGACTCTGACTTTCAGGTTCAGCGGGAGGGCCGAACACTCAGGAGCAATCGGAAAGCACGGATTTTCTCATAACTCGAGACAGGTGGAAACCACAAATCACAGACTGTAAAAGATCACAAAATATTTCTGTTATCGTTTGAGCTGCTGACAGGCTATATGTCTTCTACTTCACGGTGCTCCGGTGTGCTTTCCCCTCAACTTAAAAAAACAAAAATCCACATCTTTATCGACAATCCATCACTGTGAGCAGAAAGTCACCACAGGAAGTCCTCACCACTGATGACAAGTTTGTGTTCCATGTAACAAATAACTCATTTTCCTAAAACAAACAAGACTGTACTTTTCTTAGAGGACCTACATTCTAGCAGCGATGGTCGGGAGTTCTTAAAAAGCTGCCAAGAATGCAGATAGAAACTTTGAGCCCGAGCAGGCCAGCATGGCCAGATGGCCTGAGGCGGCGGTTGAGAAAACTCTGGCCTTACCTGCTGATTTTGGAGTGAACTTGTCTCTGTTGGCAGCGCAAACAGCCAGGAGCCGGTAGCCCAGGTCCAAGTCGAAGCCCTGCTGAGCTGCTACACGGCTGACCACCTGAACACACGGACAAGCATGCAGCACCGAGTCAGGACGATGGCAAAAATGCTGCTACAATTATCATTTTACTTTACATTACTACCAGATAAGTTAGTCAAAGCATTTCTAATATGGAAAACTAGACTTATTTTCTATAGAAATCTAGTGTAAATAAAGCATTTAGATTTTTTTGTTCTTGTTATCAGCTAATAACAGCTAGGGTTTGATATCACCTACTGCCTTCTGCTGAAAAACAAGTTATACCCATTTTGGTCAAACTTTAAAAGTTACATCATTGAGGTGTAAGATGATATGTGTTGGGGATGATTCTCAGCTTCTAACACAACATTTATCTCAATATCCATTAAATTGACCGAATTATAGCCCTTTTTGTGTTGGCTAATGTTGATTACCGTATTTTCTGAAGTACATGTCGCACCGCCCTATAAGTCGCATCAGTCCAAATATGTTTAATAAAGTAGAGGGAAAAACATAAATACATTGCTTTGCCGTATACGTCACATCTATTATGCGTCATCGCTGACGCATTGCGTGTTACGCATCACCACTGACAACCCGGAAATGTGGGCCGGTGTTGTGGCAAAAATTAATTGGCTGCCAAATGGCGGCCGTGGGAGTGTGCACGAGACTTTAACAAGAATTTAACAAGATTAACACCTAAAACAATTATTTGTTTGCTCGACATTATAGCAAAGTTGTGTCTCAGTCTAAGTTTTCCTTAATAAATGCGCTTCGACGGTCAAATCAGCTGCATTTCAAAAGCCGATACGCGGAATTAGGCGCGTGCATGGAAGGACTCGCTGTGCATTTCTTGGAAATTTAATAAGACAACCACTTAAAAACAATTATTTGTTTGCTTGAAATTATAGCAAAGTCTAACTTTTCCTTAATAAATGCACTTTGATGGTCAAATCAGCTGTATTTTAAAAAGCAGTCGCTGCCTCGGAGCTTCGAGAGCACGCTCTGAGGGAGGATATTAGGAAGGAGGAACGTTGTGCATTTTTTAGAAATTTAACAAGATTAACACCTAAAACAATTATTCGTTTGTTCGACATTTTAGCAAAGATGTGTCTCAGTTAAACTTTTACTTAATAAATGCACTTTAATGGTCAAATTAGCTGCATTTTGCTGGGGCGGCGCAGTGAAATGAAGCTTTGACGGTTGTTCCACATGAGCTGGATGAAGGTTGCAGTCTATGGCAAGCCGATTGTGTCATTAATAGCCACTTTTACCTATTACATGACAGAACGGCATGCCATAGTACTCGAGTGCCATCTAGCGGCTGAAAACGGTAGTGTTCAATATTTTCAGTCAGAATTAATAAAAACGGTCATATCTCAGCAAAAAATTGGTTTATAAATATGGGGAAAAATCCATAAATTTGTCGATATAGTGTATAAATAGCAGGGCATGCAAATTGTGCACACAAAAAAACGCGACTTATAGGTCGAAAAATATGGCAGTTGTGTTGAACATCTCCAGTTGGACTGGTTCTAAAATATAGTTGTTGTTGAACATCCAGTAATTATTTTCTGAGAGTTTCATTAAAATCAATCCAATGATTCATGACATATTTTGCTAACAGACAAACAGGATGACTCCTACTGTAAACGCTTAAAGCTCGACTAAGTTACAGTCATTCGTGTGGTTTTCAAGGTCGGTTAACTGAGGTGGCCATCTTGATTTGAGCTGAGTTGTCGAGTTAATGTATGGACCAAATGTGACACAAACAATACATTTTGTAGCTTATTGCTACACAAAACTGTTATTTTTTTATTATGACAAACTTGTGAACAGAAGCCGCCTCTCTGACCCATCTGAGGGCCCAACATTTTGCTTTACTGTGTTCCCGCAGTGACCTTTGGCAGCATTAAAGATCTACTTCAACCTAAATGATAGACATGCAACCAGTTTATAAGTTCCAGATGAGTCGGATGACAGCGAGATGAGAAAAATGAGGCCTCCCGAGCTGAGATGACCCACTGAGAGGAAACATTAAGAGAGGCATCACTGTGCTGTAGGAGGCGATGTAAATCACTGTTATGAGCCACACATTGCTTTAATTTAGCTATTATCAGCTAAAAAAAAAAAAGAGCCGAGTCATGCAGACCTTTAGGACACACTTGGACCAAAGCTTTATCGTGGCCACGATCGTGCTGTGTCACTTCAAGACAAGTCCTGCAGCTGCTGCTGCCTGCACCATGTCATTACCCTCAGTAAATATAGTGCTGACGTGACACCAGAACACACAACGTATATCTGAGCTTTATTTATAGGAATCTCCCCCATTAAAAAGGAAAAATATGACTTTAGCCGGTCTAATTAGAACCTAAACTAAAGCAGGATGTTTTGCTAAATTGTAATTTTAGTGGAAGAAGTTACAAAAAGTGGTTCTAATTCGAGGACTTTAATTGCACACAGAAAGTGCAGTTGTGGCAAGTTTACCCACCATAAGGTAAACACGTGCTGTACATCTTATACATTAGACCCATCCAAACCTTGATGAGCAGCTTTAAAGCTCACATGGATGTTTTTTTTTTTTTTTTTACTAAAGTGCACTATTTTATACAGCACTGAAGGTAAAATAAACTACTAGACTGTACATAGGATTTATTAGGATTTATCATTGGGTATATATGGCTTAACTCACGGGTGGGCAACATTTTTACCAGAGGACCAAATAAAGATATTTAGCAATCGAAGGGCCGCATTGAAAAAAAATCAATCAATCAATCAATCAATCAATCAATCAATCAATCTATCTATCTATCTATCTATCTATCTATCTATCTATCTATCTATC